GAAGGTTTTCCATTGAAGGTGAAGTGGAACCAAGGTTTAGAGAAAAATCGTGTGATATATTAGATCAGGTGTGAAAGTAGCCATAGAATGGGGAAATGGTAATGCACTGGTGTGGGGCAGAAGGGGGAACGGAGAAGTGTCATTCATGGCCTGCCTTGCGATGAGCTGGAGAGGCTGGAAGACTGTCCCCAATGATGAGCCTTCATCGTACAGGAGAGGACAAGGTGAGGGGAGATGGTCTGCATTGCCTGACTCCTCCAGGATGTCCAGCAGATTGGACCTCCATTGGGTCTTCATCTGTCTGGGATGGGAGGTGGGATTCGCCGGACCAATTGGGTATTTCTACTATTGGGATATCAAGAGCCTCACAAAATGGTGCAATATCTACCGGGAATCTGAGGAGAGCTGATCGCCCCATGTGTGTTGCTGAGAGGCCAAATGGGAATCTCCAGCGGTAAGCAATGCCCCTGGAACACAGTAGATCCAATAAAGGGCGTAAGTCCTTTCTGCGTTGCAAGGAAAGATGGGAGAGATCCTGAAATAATTTGATTTCTGCTCAATTATATATCACGCGGTTTCGATCTCATGCTCTGCGCAAAATTTCTTCTTTAAAGTAGGAAGTCAACTAAGCAGCAAATTATATCTCTCAGGGAGTCAGTATCTCTGCCTCTAGGACGAAGAGCCCTATGGAGGTGTTCAAACTCAATTGGAGATTCCTGTAGTCTTTACAAAAGATCATTGAAAATAGTTAAGAGCATTTGGGTGAGTTGGCCGGATTCAAATTTCTTGAGGGACACCACGTACCCTTAAATTATGTCGTCTTCCCCTGTTGTCCAGGTCCTTGATATGACAATCAAGCTCTCTTAGATGCATGGTGTGTGTATCTACCAGCTTGCGCATATCATGGATGGCAAGGTCTTGTATGGTAACTTTGTCCTCCACTGCTTCAAGCCTTTGGGCCACAGCTTGCATGTCGATATGTAACTCAGCGATTACTGCAGAGAGAGTCTCTTTAATATCTGATGCTACGGCTTTCAAATCCCCTATAGTGAGAGGGGAGGTTTCAGAATGGCAGGCTGTGGGTGCTGCGGCTGGTCTTCTGCTCTGTAAATGAGACGCTCCAAATGTGGCGGAGAAGCAGGGGCAGAGGCCTCAGTGTATTCTGGGGTCTGGGACCGGAATAACTCCAGAATGCTGTGACTGGCAGGACCGCTCGGCTGGCGAGGAGATCTCGAACATGGGGCAGCGGGTCTCTTATCCGCTTTCCCCATATCAGCGGTGTCTCTCCTTGTTAGTATCACGTATTTCCACCTCCGTGTGTCAGGGCTCCAGGAACTAAGCTGCCATTTTTTCTGGGCTCAAGCTAAGCCCCCCAGCAATTATAAAACTTGTAAATTATATCTCCAGAAAGGCCAGGGGCCCAAATGTAGGCCTCAGAGTGCATGAGGAGGCAAGTGAGCACAGGGGCTGAGAATGGGCAGACTCCCCGGATTGCCAGTTACAAGGCCCTTCAGGGGGGGTGCAAGGAGCGCCTCTGTATCCCCCAGGTGTCTGTCCACTGTAATTATATGGCCTTCAAGCCTAGTGGGGGCCGCAATATGGCTTGCTGCTGTGGGTGAGCCTCAAGGCCTGTATCCTAGGCCATATCCCTGGGTCTGGGGGGGGGGGGGGGCCCGATGGGCCGGGGAGGGTCACTTGATGGTCCGGGTGGGGGGCGGTGATCAACAATCACCCCCTCCCACCACAAACCACACTCACCCGGCTCCTGGACGGGCGCGAGTCCACGGCTTCAGCAGGCCGCAATACTCCGCTGCCATGGAGGGGAGTCGAAATCACTCGGCACCCCTCCGCTGTGTACCTGCAGGTTCAGCGGGACTACTGGCTGGTTCCTCGAGTCCGCTGCCACCTGGATGGCAGTGGATTGCAGTGGAGTCTGCAGGAGCTCCGGGTTATGCGGCCGGTCCGGTCGTCATGTTGGACACGCCCCTCAATACTTTTACTACTTGACCTCTCTGCAGCTTTTGATACTGTTGACCACCCCCTAAAAAAAAAAAAAAAAAAAAAAAAAAAAAAAAAAAACACACAACACACAACACTCCACTCTGAGACTTTGCTCTCTCCTGGTTCTCCTTCTACACATCGCAGCGCTCCTTCAGCATTACCCACAGTTGTGTTCAAAATAATAGCAGTGTGTTGAAAACAGTGAATAAAGCTCAAAATCCTTCTAATAGCTTTTATTTCCATACACACAAATGCATTGGGAACACTACACATTCTATTCCAAATCAAGACATGAAGAAAAATATATCAAAATTTGTGTCGTTCCTCTAAAAAAAAATTGGAGAAAAGTGAATATTAGACTGTTCAAAAAAATAGTGTTTGTATTCTTCTTTACAAACTCAAACATTCACTATATAAACTGAAAAATGTTTGAAGATTTTGCTTTCCTTCGAATCACTTAATATTTAGTTGTATAACTACTGTTTCTGAGAACTGCTGTACATCTGTGTTGCATGGAGTCAACCAACTTCTCGTACCTGTGAACAGGTATTCCAGCCCAGGATGATTGGACTACATTCCACAGTTCTTCTCTATTTCTTGGTTTTGCCTCAGTAACTGCATTTTTGATGTCACCCCACAAGTTTTCTATTGGCTTAAGATTCGGGGATTGGGCTGGCCACTCCATAACGTCAATCTTGTTGGTCTGGAACCAAGATGTTGCACGTTTACTGGTGTGTTTGGGGTCATTGTCTTGTTGGAACACCCATTTCAAGGGCATTTCCTCTTCAGCATAAGGCAGCATAACCTCTTCAAGTATTCTGATGTATTCAAACTGATCCATGATCCCTGGTATGCGATAACTAGGCCCAACACCGTAGTATGAGAACATCCCCATATCATGATGCTTTCGCAACCATGCTTCACTGTCTTCACAGTGTACTGTGGCTTGAATTCAGTGTTTGGGGGTCATCTGACAAACTGTCTCCAGCCACTAGACCCAAAAAGAACAATCTTACTTTCATCAGTCCACAAAATGTTGCGCCATTTCTCTTTAGGCCAGTCAATGTGCTCTTTGGCAAATTGTAAACTCTTCAGCATGATTTTTTCAACAGTGGGACTTTGCGGGGGCTTCTTGCAGATAGCTTGGCTTCACACAGGCATCTTCTAATTGTAACAGTACTCACAGGGAACTTTAGACCTTCTTTGATCTTCCTGGAGCTGATTGTTGGCTGAGTCCTTGCCATTTTGGCTATTCTTCTATCCATTCAAATGGTTTTTCGCTTTCTTCCACGTCTTTCAGGTTTTGGTTGCCCTTTTAAAGCATTTGCGATCATTTTAGCTGCACTTCTTTATATGTTTTCCCCTCTCCAATCAACTTTTAAAATCAAGGTACGCTGTTCTTCTGAACAATGTCTGGAATGACCCATTTTCCTCAGAATGTCAGAGAGAAATGCACTGTAACCAGCATGTACAACATTTGCTGCCTTCCTTCCTTAAATAAGGGCAATAATTGCCACCTGTTTTTCAAAGAATGAATGACCTCACTAATAGAACTCCACACTTTCAATTAGTGATTCAATTACACAGAATCAGCAGCATGCATGTCATGACTGTTGGGTCTGTTGGATTTCTATTACACCTGCTAGTAAATTATTTGCCATGTAGAAATATCATTACTACCAAAAACAGTGATTGATCAGGTTAGTAATGTCTGACTGCTATTATTTTGAACACAACTGTATAACTGTCTCCTGCTCTAAACTTCCTCTTTCTCTAGGGGTCCCTCATGGTTCTGTCCTTGGACCCCTTCTTTTCTCCATCTACACCTCCTCCCTTGGTCACTTGATAAACTCCCATGGCTTTAAGTACCATCTCTGTGCTGTTGACACACAAATCTATCTTTCTACTCATCACCCAGGGGAGGACTGACCATTTGGAAACTCGGGCACTGCCCGAGATCAGTAGGGGACCCCATGAGATGCCACTGGTACCTTTTTCAAAGCCTTTTTAGAGATTGGGCAAGGACACAGGGGCCCCATGATCCTCTATTGCCCAGGGGCCCCATGAGTTGTCAGTCCGCCCCTGTCCTCACCTCACCCCTTCAGTCTCATCTCGCATTACTAACTTATTAAGTGATATATCAGCATGGATGTCACTCCACTTCCTCAAACTAAATCTTTCCAAAACTGAGCTCATACTAGTCCCTCCAGCCCTTGCCCCCACCCCTGACTTCTCCATCAAGATCAATAATACAACCATCAGTCCCCCCCCTAATGCCAGGGTACTAGGTGTAATCCTGGACTCCCATCTGTCCTTTCAGCCGCAATACCAATCACTGTCCAAATCTTGTAGACTTCACCTCCGCAACATCTCCAAGATATGCCCGTTTTTAACTTCTGAAATCACTAAGCAACTTATTCACTCCCTTGACTATTGTAACTCCCTCCTCATTGGCCTACCTCATCGCAGGCTATCCCCTATTCAGTCTATTATGAATGCTGCTGCCAGACTCATCCACTTTACTAACCGTTCCATATCTGCCATCCCTCTCTGCCAATCGCTCCACTGGCCTCCCATTGCCCAACGAATAAAATTCAAAACATTAACAATAACATATAAAGCCATTTATAACTGTGCCCCAAATTACATCACCAATCTTATCTCCAAATATCACCCAACCCGTACTCTCCGCTACTCCCACCACCTCTTCCCATGCTTGTCTCCAGGACTTCTATAGAGCCTCCCCCATTCTCTGGCATGCTCTACCCCAATCTATCAGACTATCGCCTACTCTGCCCACTTTTAGGCGATCTCTGAAAACCTCTCTTTAGGGAAGCCTATCCCGCCTTCAGCTAAAAAAACTGAATCTTCTATTCCTCCTGTATAAATAAATCTAAAATTCTGAATAATAGTTTTTGTTTTTCTTTTAACTGCTTTCCCTCCACCCTATAGCAGATATACTGCTACAGGGCGGCAGGGGTGCAAAAAAATCACTTATGTGATCTTGCATTTCCGGGTAGGGCACGCGCCCTACCTGCGCCGCTATTTGCAGCTTCGGCTGTCAATCTCCGGGTCCCAGCCGGTGATTACTCACCGACATCCAGTGATCGCTCAGCATTACTGATGGAGGGAGAGAGCTGTATGTAAATACAATTCTCTCCCCTGTCCGCTCCTGCGCACTGCTTTGTATGGCTCTGCATAGCAGAACCATACATAGCAGTGTGCCTACAGATGAAAGCACACACACAGCTTACAGTAAAACAGCACACAGCTAACCCTTTGATCGCCCCACATGTTAACCTCTTCCTGCCCAGTGCCATTAATACAATGTCAGGACTTTTTATTAGCACTGATCACTGTATTGGTGTAACTGGAGATGTCAGTGACACCAAGTCACCTCCCTACTCCCCAGTGTCAGAATGCCCACCGCAGTCCTGCTATAAGTCGCTGATCACCACCATTACTAGTAAAATAAATAAATCCCAGTATATATACACCGCAATTTGTAAAAAGTTATATCCTTCAGGTAAACTAATTTACACGTATTGGGATTGTTTTTAGCAGACATGTAGCAGAATACATTTTGGCCTAAATTTGACAAACTTATTTTTTTTAAATTTTTAATGGGGACATGTTTAATAGAAAGACAAAAATATTGTTTTTCTCTCAAAATTGTTGTTTTTTTTTTATAGCACAGAAATTAAAAAAAAAAAAAAAAAAAAAAATCAAAAGAACAAAAAAAAACAAAAAAAAAAAAACAAAAAACGCATAGTCGATCAAATACCACCGAAAGAAAGCTCTATTAGTGGGGGGGGGGGGGGGGGGAAGGACAGGCAGGCATTTAATTTGGATGCAGCATTGCATGACCACGCAATTGTCAGTTAAAGTAACACAGAGCCGTAGCGCAAGAAATGGCCTGGGGGGGGGGGTTATATCCTCTGGAGGGCAACAAGTGGTTAATTAGAATTCCAAGCCCAACTTTGGGTTCTCCCAGTGCTCCTCCTCTATGAAGAGGTCCCCTGACAGTATTTTATTAGATATTTATATATTTTTAACCTTTTCCAGATATCTTTAGACCAGTTACATGACATGCAGGGTTCTCCTTTTTGAGATCTTTTCAGCAGAGAGTCCACAATGATGAAGACATAATTATACATTATGGACAAGGTGTTCTGGTTGCAGAAGTAGTTAAAAAAAAAAAAAAAAAAAATATGAAACCTCCTCAAATTTAGCTAAACGTGGGGCTTTAAACACAAACTGGATCACAGTTGTAAAAAAATGCAGTCAACAGCAAGTTTACTTGTTCTTCAAGTTTGCCTGCCTCCACTCATATGCAGTCCTATGTTAACTACTCTATAAAAACAAAAAACAGAAGACATACACTCACCGGCCACTTTATTAGGTACACCCGTTTAATTGCTTGGTAACACAAATTGCTAGTCACATGGCAGCTACTCAATGCATTTAGGCATCTAGACATGGTGAAGACAACTTGCTGAAGTTGAAACTGAGCATCAGAATGGGGAAGAAAGAGGATTTAAGTTACTTTTAAAGTGGCATGGTTGTTGGTGCCATATATGGGCTGGTCTGAGTATTTCAAAAACTACTGATCTACTGTAATTTTCATGCACAACCATCTCAAGGGTTTGCAGAGAATGGCCCGAAAAAAAGAAAATATCCAGTGAGCCTCAGTTTTGTGGATGAAAATACCTTGTTGATGTCAGAGGAGAATAGGCAGATTGGTTCGAGATAATAGAAAGGCAACAGTAACTCATGTCAAAATGGGCCAAAATCTCTGAGGAATATTTCCAACACCTTGTTGAATCTAGGCCATGAAGAATTAAGGCAGTTCTGAAGGCAAGAGAGGTCCAACCCGGTACTAGCAAGGTGTAGCTGGGGAGTGTATATTGCCAAAGTGAGACAGTAAGGAAAAATCAAGTTACACTTACAGTAACATCTTTTCCAGTAGTCTTTCAGGACAGCACCTTGAGAGACCTAGTCTCCTTCCCACCTGAGGAAACACCTCCACCCAAAATAAAAAGCCTTCCACTCCCCTCTGACCTCAGTTCTTAAAACGTGCCTCCGGTCACCTGGGGAGACACAACTTGAGACAACATGACCATAATAAGACTCTCAAATAACCAAATATCAAACACTGGGTGGGTAATTGGTGCTGTCCTAAAAGACTACTGGAAAAGACATTACCGTAAGTGTAACTTGATTTTTCCCCTTCTGTCTTTCAGGACAGCACTTTGAGAGGATAAGCGAGTACTCATCCCTCGGGCGGGCTAACTGCTTGCAGTACCTTACGTCCAAAGGCCTGCTCCTGCACAGAGACCAGGTCGAGTCTGTAATGCGTTACAAACGTATCATAGCTGGACCAGGTTGCTGACCTGCAGATTTGTTCTGGGGAAGCACCTGCCAACTCAGCCTGGGTAGTTGCTACTGCTTGGGTGGAATGTGCCCCGATTCCTTTCCGGGACCTCTAGGCCTTCCGCTTGGTATGCCCATGCAATCGCCAGCTTTAACCATCTGGCCAGTGTTCTCCTAGGAGCTTTCTTGCCCTTCCTAATCCCCATGAAAGAAACAAAAAATAAATAAATAAATAAATAAAGACTCCGTGCTCCTGAACCCTTTCGTCTTTTCAAGGTACAGCAGCATGCACCTTCTAACATCTAACAAATGTAGTCTCTCCTGAATTTCCCCATCCGGGTCAGGAAAAAAACGAGGGTAGCACTATATCCTGCTCCCTCTGGAACTTCTGGGCCACCTTCGGAATGAAGGATGGGCTGTCCTAAATACCACTCTATCTGGAAAAATCTGTAGATAGGGGGCTCTGACTGATAGGGCTTCTAGCTCGCACACTCTCCTTGCTGTGGTAATCGCCACTAAAAAGGCCGCTTTAATTGTAAGGTCTCTTATTGGGCAGGAATCTAAGGGCTCGAATGGGGCCTTAATCAGTACTCCAAGCACTTTTGCAATGTCCCACATCGGAAAAGGTCTGGACCTTGGAGGTCTTTGCCTTGTCAGGGCCTTAACAAATCTCCCTACCAGCGCCTCCCTGGCTAAGGGTGTCTCCAAAAACACACTGAGGGCTGAAACCTGGCCCTTGAGCGTGCTGATAGAAAGTCCCTTATCCGCCCCTGCTTGCAGAAACTGCAAAACCGATACCAAGCTATGGGTCGCTACCGACGCCTCCTCGCACCAGGCCGTAAAGCAACCCCAAACCCTGCTATAAATGGCCTGGGTCTCCTCCTTCCTGCTCACCAGCAACGTAGCTACCAACCTGGTCGAAAGCCCCTTTGCTAAAAGGAGCTGTTGTTCAGAAACCAGGCCATCAGCCTTAGTCTCTCCAACCTGGGGCATAGGACCGGTCCCTGTGTCAGTAAATCCCTTCTTGGCGGTTACTCAAAGGGTGGCCGTGTGGCTAAGCTTGTTAGAATCGCAAACAATGCTCGCCGTGGCCAGAATGGGGAGATCAGGATAAGCAAGGTTCTCTCTGACCTGAACTTCCTTAACACCAGGGGAAGTAAGGGGACCGGGGGGAAAGTGTAGCACAGCGGGTAATCCCACCTCTGTCCCAACGCATGCACCGCTTCTGATCCGTCCCCACGGTTTAGGGAGAAGAACCTTGGAACCCTGTTTTTCCCCCCCGAGGCAAAAAGATCTATTTTCCGGGGACCCCCACTTCCTTACGATCACCTGAAATACTTGTACCGAGAAGGGCCCCTGAACTCATTGGAGGGACCCTCCCCAGCTGACTCCTCTTCCGAATAGGAATCCGAGGGTTCCTTGTCCTCCCCTATTATGAGGAGTTCCCTGCTCCGACCTGCTGAGGCCACCGGGGGGGGGGGGGCAAGGGGCTGACTGGGGAGTGGCTAACCTTTCCATAAGACTCTTGAAAGAGTCGAAGGTATTGGTCAGCTCCTTCACTGACCTGACCAAGTCACCCTGTTCAGGCCTCTCCTCCCTTACTAACCCCTCAATGCAAGGGCCACACAGAACCTTCCTCCAAGATTCTTTTAGCACTGACTTGCAGGACGGGCATCTGCGCTTAGGCTCCAGATGCTTAAGCTTCTCCCGGGCCTTGCCCTGAAAGACAAAAAAAAAGGGAGCCGAAAGGGACCCTGTCACCCACTGCCATTCACTGTTCCCCCCCCTCCTTCCCGGCAGGGCCTAAGGGCCTGATACCTCCAACAGGACCCCCTCCCTGCCCAAGAAGACCCTCATCACCAGAGGGTCCGGGAATACCCCAGGAGCTAGGGGCAACCAGGTAGGGGAGGACTCCTCTGAGTCACCTTACCCGAGATTGGCTGGTGCTGGTATCCCCTGGTCCCGGTGCTTCTGACATCCTTCCCAGGAGGTGGTCGCCTAGTGCAGTAGCCTGTCCCCCAGGCTGTTCCGCCCGCACCGCCATTAAAATTTTGCGCGCCGTGGTGTCTAGGGCCGCGGCCAGAAGCGGAAGCCGCGACCCTGGGAGAAGCCCAGCCCCCTCCGCCAGAAAAGCCATCCCCCGACATCCGGCCCGGCGAGTTCTACTGACCGCCAGCATGGGAGGGAGCGGGACTCCTCCCCGATCCTCGCCAGATCTCACTGCGGCCGCCCCTAACGCCCCAACTCACCGGAGGGGGGAGGGGGCGAAGAGCAGGTACGTGCTGCCCCCTGTCCCCCAGGGTGCACACTCACTGCACAGCAGCTGGCCCGGGGAGGATCGCAGCCGGACACTACAGCCTTCACTCCCTGCTGCCCTGAGCCTCCAAGGCCGACTCTCCGAACCTCGGCTCAGCCCTAACCTGTCTACCTGACAGCACCTTGAGCTTCCTCACGTGTCTATCCACAGGAGGAAACACCTGAACTGAGGTCGGAGGGGAGTGGAAGGCTTTTTATTTTGGGTGGAAGTGTTTCCTCAGGTGGGAAGGAGCTGAGGTCTCTCAAGGTGCTGTCCTGAAAGACGGAAGGGGAAAAGGACGTCTGCTAAAAAGGATGCAATAATAATAGGACACAGCCTTTAGTGTTCTTTACATGGTACACTAAAATGAATTTATAATAATTGTGTTTGTGTTTTCTGTATATTTATTAGCAAGTACTTTTTTCTACTGAAGTAAAATATGAAAAAATATTGCACATTACTATTGTGTAGTTTTTAGCTTCAAGATATACTTACCAAACAACTGATGCAACAGACACACAGACAAGCAATTGCAGCAATAAAGGTTAAGATGATATATTTCAATATCAAGACTCCAAATGTGAATTTATAGACTATATCATCACAGTCCCTATGATTATCTTGATAGATGTTAAATACCCAGATGCTTCCTAGGACAAAATGTTGGGATATTGATGAAAAACCAATGTAACATTTCCAATATTATTATTAACATTATAGTCTTATACAGAAAACACAATGTGACAAACATTTCAAATTTGAATAGGTCACTTAGTTGTAACTATGATAAACATTTGCGTGAAGACTCAGTAATAATAGATTTAGGACATTTTATCTTTTTTGGTTAGGATGAAAAAAAAGTTCTCGCCATACAATAGCAATTAGGATTTGCTTAACTTGTTCCATACTTTGGGCGTGCTAGAGAGGCCCAAACAAACATAATTGCATACTTAACGTGTGTAGTACATCCAGTCTCTCAGCCCTTTTGATGGGATTCCCCTCCTTGCCAATACACAGCAATTCTTGGCTCTGATAAATCAAAATCAGGATTGCTATGTACACAGAGCAGCTCTCTGCAGCCGCAGCTGTCAAAAAAGCAGTGTTCATCGACAACACTGTTCAGACAGGATATAGAAAGATACAAAATAATATAATGTTACTTTTGTATCATTCTGTTTGCAGATCAAAGGAATGAACTTTAACCTGCAGATGATGTCAGTTAAAGAAACCGAAGTTAAAAAAAAAAGAAAAAAAAAATGTATTCTTTATTAAATACAATGTTTCTCTGTTTAACCCATTATTAGCCCTTTTTATATTTACTCTAATTGGCCCTAATCAACTTCTTACTCTCTTTCTTCCTTCAGCTATTATTTTCCTGCTGATTCTATGCACATAGGTAAAAAAACCTTCTGTGTGCAGCAGTGCCCCCAGACCCCTTAATGCCCAAGCGATGTGTACGACAGCCTCAGCTGTCCCGAGTCTCTGCCTCCTCATTGGCTTAGACAGCAAGCAGGAGCCATTGGCTCCTGCTGCTGTCAATCACAGCCAGTCAGTCAATGAGAGAGAGAGAGGAAGCAGGACAGGGCAAAGTCACAACTCAATTCACAACTTGTGTGAATGGATACACAGAGCAGTGGGTGCCCCCATAGCAAGCTGCTTGCTGTGGGGGCACCCGACAGAATGGAGGAGCCAGGAGAGCCTGTGGGGGACTCGAGAAGAGGAGAATCCAGGATGCTCTGTGGAAAACCACTGCACACAGCAGGTAAGTATAACATGTTTGTTATTTTTACACCAAAAAAAAACAACAAAAAATGAACCTTTATCGCATTAAATATTAAAATTTTAGTATAAAGTTAACAGGACAAATTACAGAATAAAATGCACACTTTTTATCTGCAGTAATAAAACTTCAATTTTAACCACTTGAAGACCCACTAACATACATATACATTGCGAGTTGCAAGTGGTATACTGGAATAACTCTCGCAGCAGCAGGCATCATGCTGGTATCGTTTTTTTTTTTCCCAGTCGGTGGCTGGCCTTTTTGTACGAGCCACTAAAGCAGCTAAATTTGCCACTGGATTGCCCTTACAGGTGTTGGGAAGGGTGGGTCACTTCTGGAAATAAACAGCAATATTTATAAATCTTGAAAGCATTTGATCACATGGATCTTGGTGTGATCAGATGCTTTTAGGGCAGTGGAGAGATAAGGTGTCTAATAGAACCCAGATCTCTCCATAAAAAGTAACTGTCAATGCTTATTGCTGTCACAAGTGAGGTTTACATTCCTTGTGTAAGCAATAAAAATTTAAAAATAAATTAAAGAAACAGTGTAAAAATAAATAAAAATTAAGCACATGTTGGTCCCGCATGTAAATGGAAATTGCACCACACATGAGGTATTGCCGTGAACGTCAGAGCAAGAGCAATAATAATTGTAGCACCAGACCTCCTCTGTAACTGTTATCTAGTAACCTGTAAAGGCTTGCCTATGGAAATGTTTAAATACCATAGTTTGGCGCCATACCACATGCATGCTGAATTTTAAAAAAACTTGACGTTTGGTATCTATTTACTTGGTGTAACATCAGATTTTATAAATCTATCAAAAATTGGGTATTGTATTTGTGTGCAATAAAAATTCATGAAAGTATTTTTTCCTACACAATTGGGTAAAAAAAAAAAAAAAAAAAAAAAAAACACTGTGCAAATACTAAGTGATAAAAAAAAATTGCTAAACCACCATTTTATTCTCTAGGGCCTATGCATAAATGTGTTTGTGGATTCCAAGTAGTTTCTAGCAAAAAATACTGATTTTTAAATGTAGACAAAAATGCCAGAAAAGGCTGGGTCTAACAGTGATCAAAACAAAAGTGTGTTTTGATTAGTTTTGGTGCATTTTATTGTCTAGGGATTGCAAAAAAGAATAGAATTACTGGTAGCCATTTACAACATGATATCTGGTGGCAATTATTTTAGATATAAGAATGAATGGGCTATGGTTTAGGCCTGATTAGCATTTACAGAACCAAACTAAAGCAAAACTACACTGCATCTGAGCTCCACAAATAAACAAAATGCTATTTTATTGATTTTCATTATTCAAAGCAAATATGCCCATCTATCCAAGTCTCTATGCTTTATTTTGCTGAGAAATCACTTTGAAAAAGACCCCCTGGCAATTCTGGCTGTGGCCATCTTGAGTAAGGGAAGATGATGAAAGTAGCATTGACTTCCTGGAATCCATCTGCCTTTACTTCAGGCATACAAGCAGGAGGGCGTGCTTAGCTCACAAAAACCCTCATCCCCTCCTGAAGACTCCTGGAATGTATAACATCATGTGCCCAAGCAAGAAACCAGGAAGTAACTGAACAAAAAATAATTTAAAAAACACATGTAAAATATGATATACATTCCTATTTACTAAGGCTAGCAGCAAAACTATTAAAGTTAAAATGATGGTTAAGAGAGCAAAGTTCCACTTTAAGAAGACACTGGAAAAAGTGAATTTGTATTTTATTTTCAACACACTCACTTCAAGCACAGTTTTTACTGGCACACAGCAGCACATTAAACTTGCAAAAAGGTGTGAACCATAGAAATTTAGTCCCTAAGCCCATAGACTATGTGAGGTTGTCTGAAAGATCCCGTAGAATTAATGTCCATAAAAAAAAATAAAGTGTTGACACACCTACAATCATATCTACAGTATATATGAATTAACCTTGGAAATTTGACTCGTCCATTTTAAATTTGGGTTTCATTTTGAAAGGCGATTCATAGGTTGGAGTTTTGGTGATTTAGACTCAACACATCAGTCCCTGAAGGGCATTTTAGCCTTTGTAAAGCTCTTCTAGTATGCAAAAATACCAAATATCCAAACATCCAGTGTCTTCCTATCCCTAGTAACTGGCAGTGCTCCTTAGTAAAAAAAGGTAGGGCGCTTGTATTTTACACCATTATAGGATTCATTGCTACAAATGACCTTAATTGTCCTTCTGTTGCTTCAAGCAACCTACCCGACACGATTTTTAAGTTACGTGTGACTTCTGGAACCATGACTCAAGTGCCAGTAATCTCTATAGACTATATTCTTCAGGAATCAGTCTTACCTGCAACAAACCAGCCCAATGAAAAAAGGCTCAAAACCATCTCTAAGCAAAAGGTCAGTTTTACAGAGACAATCTTCAGTGGTAAGAGTATAAATCCAGCCAAGTAAATTGCTCCTGACACTATAAGATAGATGGGAATTTTGGGTTCCACTGGACACTTTTCTATAAACAAGGCACCTGCGAGTAAAAAGAATGTACAATAAATATTAGTAAAATCATATGTTAGTATCTGGCTCCCCTAAAGTATAGACAACATTATATTACCTACGACAATCATGGCTGCGCTAATTGTTAGCCAGAGCAACGTACAGACTATACGTGAACCTGGGGAAAAAAAAAAGAAATTGCATACGTTTGTCACATCAGAATTATAGTGGTTTAAAAATTAGGCTAATGATGTGGGCCTGATCTACCTTCTATAGTGCCAAATGCCAATTTTTTTTTTAAATAACAAACATGTTAAACTTACCTGCTGTGTGCAGTGGTTTTGCATAGAGCAGCCAGGATCCTCCCCTTCTTGGGTCCCCTGCAGGCTCTCCTGGCTCCTTCTTTCTGTTGCGTTGCCCATAGCACGCAGCTTGCTATGGGGGCATCTGCTGCTCCGGGTGTCCATTCACACATGAAGCAATGGCTTGGCCCTGCCCCCTCTTTCTCCTCATTGGCTGAGACAGCCAATCCCAGCCAGTCAGCCAATGAGGAGTGAGGGGGCGGGGCCAAGTCACAGCACCGTGTGTGAATGGATCTCGATGGGGTTCAGGTAAGTATTGAGGGGGGCGAGAGGCACTGCTGCATACAGATTTTTTACCTTCATGCATGAAGGTAAAAAAAACTTGAGCCTTTACAACTGCTTTAAAACATAAAATAAACATTTATAATATACAAAGATAGATAAATACTACACATACCACACCACAGTATATAAAATAAAATAAATTGATTCAAAGGCTCAATAAACTTGAGCCTTTACAACTGCTTTAAAACATAAAATAAACATTTAGAATATACAAAGATAGATAAATACTACACATACCACACCACAGTATATAAAATAAATTGATTCAAACGCTGCATAGCTACAAATCGAATAATCAACATACACTATATTGCCAAAAGTATTGGGACACCTGCCTTTACATGCACATGAACTTTAATGGCATCCCAGTCTTAGTTTGTAGGGTTCAGTATTGAGCTGGCCCACCCTTTTCAGCTACAGGTTCAACTCTTCTGGGAAGGCTGTCCACAAGGTTTAGGAGTGTGTCTATGGGAATGTTTGACCATTCTTCTAAAAGCGCATTTGTCAGGTCAGGCACTGATGTCCGATGAGAAGGTCTGGCCTACAGTCTTCACTCCAATTCATCCCAAAGGTGTTCTGTTGGGTTGAGGTTCAGGCAAGTCAAGTTCCTCCACCCCAAACTCACTCATCCATGTCTTTATGGACCTTGCTTTGTGCACTGGTGTGCAGTCATGTTGGAACAGGAAGGGGCCATTCCCAAACCGTTCCAACAAAGTTGGGAGCGTGAAATTGTCCAAAATGTCTTAGTATGCTGATGTCTTTAAGTGTTCTCTTCACTGGAACTAAGGGGCCAAGCCCAACCCCTGAAAAACATCCCCACGTCATATTCCCCCCTGCACCAAACTGTACACTTGCCACAATGCAGTCAGGCAAGTACCATTCTCCTGGCAACCACCAAGCCCAGACATATCCATTGGATTACCAGATAGAGATGCATATATTTGTCACTCCAAAGAACACGTCTCCACTGCTCTAGAGTCCAGTGGTGGCATGCTTTACACTACTGCAGCCGACGCTTTGCATTGCCACATGGTGATGTAAGGCTTGCATGCAGTTGCTCGGCCATGGAAACCAATTCCACGAAGCTCTCTATGCACTGTTGTTGTGCTAATCTGAAGGCAACACGAAGTTTGGAGGGCTCTAGCTATTGACTCTGCAGACAGTTGGCGACTTCTGCGCACTGTGTACTCCAGCATGTGCTCACTGCGCTCTGTCATTTTACGTGGCCTACCACTTTGTGGTTGAGTTGCTGTTGTTCCCAGTTGCTTCCATTTTATTACAATACCAGTTGACTGTGGAATATTTCATAGCAAGGATATATTTCACAAATCAACTTATTGTACAGGTGGCAACCTACAATGGTACCACGTTTGAATTTACTGAGCTCTTGAGAGCGACCCATTCTTTCACAAAATGTTTGTAGAAGCAGTCTGCATGCCTAGGTGCTTGATTTTTACACCTGTGGCCATGGAGGTTATTGGAACACCTGAATCCAATGATTTTGGCAATATAGTGTACATGATACATAAATACTAAAAAGTCCACATGCTCCACAGTGAAGCCCAGTGTTTGAAGAATATTTATGAATTGTACAGTACTGTGATATTATATAAAGTGTCTTCTATGATATACACCTCAATATATGAACACTCACCGCCACCACAAGCGGCTCACCTTGCTGTTATAACCTACTCAATATTGGACAATATGCACCTGTACCTTTAAAGGAATGATTTGCCGTGTTATGCAGTTGAAATGCTCTTATAAAGATATCAGTTCTACCATAAACATCCAAAACTCCAAGAGGACAGTGCCCAAAAATAAAATTTAAACAAGCAGTGTGTTCCATAAAACAACCAACATTTA